TTACATTTCAAAGATAAAAATGATACTTTTACTTCTTTACATTAAAATTTAACACCTTGTTACTTGTTACAAAATTAAACATGTTGGAACTCATCATGAAAGATGTTTCTGCATTTTAAAAAAAATGTAGTGATGAATTTACTCAACAAAGTCATGYCAAGTGGCTCCACTAAACCTAGCTGAGTAAATTGAGCAAGAAAATACACATATTGTTCAATTTACTCAACCTGGTTTAGTGGAACCAGTTTGGTTTAGTAAATTCAACCATGTCAAATTTCTTAGAGCGTGTTTTGTGAACAGTTTTATAACTTTTACTTGAGTAGTTTTATCATCAGGGAAATTTATTATTTACTAAAATCATTTTCTGTTCATGTCATTTTACTTTTACTTAGTTATTTTTTTCAAGTACTTTATATACCTCTGATTACTCGCCATGTTGCCCTCATTTCACCATTACTTTTGTCTAATAAATCACTAATATTCCTTCGTATGCCGTTTTATAATCCATACCAACTTATTTTTATACTTCTTGTAACTTTCCTCTGCTTCTTTTGTTTTCAAATGAGTACAAGTAATTTATTTTACAAGCATTTCTCAACTAAACTAATGGTTTGCTGATCCACCTGTTTGATAATTACTTTTGTGATTGCTAGAAGCAGCCACAAGGTGGTGCTAATGAGCAGTAGATAAAGTATGGTAAGCTCATTTATTATTTAAGTCATTTTTATGTTTACTATGATCTATTTACTGTGGTGGTCATCTTGAATTAGGTTGACTAAATGTTTATAATTTTTAGACGTACTTTCAGTGGTTACTTTGAGAGTTGCAATAAAATTTGCTGTGGCTCACGAGATATTTTGCTAACAAACACTTGTCTTATAGAGTGCAGTAACCAGGGCTTCACTTTTGTAAATATTGTAATTTTTTAAGCAAAAATTTTGGAAGTTTATGTTTAATTTTGAGAAAGAAATTCAGTTTAGACTAATGTTACTGATGCGAAACGATGGTTTAAATTATATACTACAACGGTCTGCCATACATTTGTAGTATATAGTCAAAACAAAACTGTAACACGCGGCGCGCTCCCGAGTCACCTGATCAAATTTAGCTACAAAACCTCCACAACCCACCTGTTGGTGTCTCAGTGACCCGGGTCAGGTTTGTCTCCCCTCCCTGGTCCTCCTGCACACCTCCATGTCCCTCTGCTCCTCTCCGGCTAACGTAGCATCCACCTGTGCAAGCCACGCCTCCTCCTGAGGCAGTAAACATCTACAGGTTCATCTTCAGCTGGTTCACAAAGTTCTGCCAGCTTCAGTAGCTTCATAATCTTAATAAAAAGAAGTAAAACTACAGATTGAGACATGAATAAACAGATTTTTTTGGTCAGAGGATGAGGTGATTTGTCATCACGCTGCCCTCTTGTGGTGGAGAAGATGTACTGCAGCTCAGAATTACCTTTGAGCTCCTCACAAACCTCTTCCCCAATGAGGTATWTTTACCTAAATATACCTCATTGCTCTTCCCAACCTGACGAGTTGGCAGCTGTCAGTCATCAAAGTACACGCCCCCATRCTAACAATACACATTCTGATTGGTCAGGCCATGTGAGCCTGACCAATCAGCGACCACAAA